AAGGGGTATGCATATATTTTTTTTTCAACTTTCAAAATCGAGAAAGCAGAGAGCCAAAGAAGTCCTACCCATCCTATGCTCAAGCTTCCGTCCTGTCTCAAAGAATGGGGTCCCTATAGATGTTTCATTTACCATTCTAAGAGCTACCTCCCTTCACTGGAGTCAGGCATCTGGAAAAGCACTAGACTCTGCTTCATTCAGGCTATTACTGAAGAGCTGAATGCAATGTTCCACAGAGGCACGTAGAACTGAGAAAACACCCCCCTGTTAGAAAGGAGAGCCTACAGAAGAAACTATAAGAAAAGAAGTGTGGGGGGGTAGAAATAATAAGGATTTAGAGATTCGAAGTTAAATATCCCTAAGGCTGAAAGCACAATGTGATGGATAATTGAAATTTTTTTTCCCAAAGGTGCTATTAGCGATTATATGGCCTGGTCCCTCATTTTAGAAATTAGGAAACTGAGCCCAAAAGCATTGCTTGAAGTTCATGTTGTTCATCGTGCCAAAACTAAGACCTAAGAACCCAAACCTTCTGATTCTAAATCTAATGTTCTTTCCATTAATGCTGCGTTGATTATTGGGAAGAGGTTTGGCTTCAAAGTCAGACAGATCTAGGTGGATTCAAATTCTGGTTCCCTTGTTACTAGTCTAGAACTTTTGACAAGTCAATCTTTGAGACTCTCATATTTTATCATCTCTAAAATGGGAGGGACCCATTACTTTGCTTATATTTCTACATTTACTCTTTAGAATACTAATGCTAAACAACTGGAAAAGAGGTTGGCACCCAGTAGAGATTTGATTAAAAGTTAGGCACTATTTCTCAATCATAGGTTGTTATATAAGAAATATTTATGCATTAGCTATGTGCAAAGCACTTTGGTATGTACTTTGAAAAATGTAGTGATCAAATATATGGTGATAGAAGGAGAACAGACTCTGGATGGTGAACACATAATGCAAGACATAGATGATGTATTACAGAATTGTACACTTGAAACCTATGTAGTTTTGTTGACCATTGTCACCCCAATAAATTTTAATAAAAAAAGATATAGCAACAAAAATCATTGCTCCCTCCCAGGTGCCTACAATATGCAGATTAATAAGCAGGACCTTAGTGGAATGCAAATGGGGCTGAAACCACTCAAAGAATTTAACTTGAACTCAGGAAGTGGATTATGCATTGAGATGATACGATTATGGGAATCAACAGAGCAATATTCCAGGAAATAGGTTACTTGAGGGGGAAAAAGAATTATGTAGGAAACGAGTTACATAGCTTTCTGTGTTATACTTCCTCTCTATACATGATAAAGTCCTAAAAGGAGAAGCAGATATTTCTCAAACCTATTTGACCATGAAATCTTTTTGTCAAGGAGTATTTCGGAGCCTCACTGTTCAGTGGAATGAGCTACGGGGAACCTGGTTTAGACTAACCTGAAAGGGAGCACAGAGGCAGGCGACCAGCTGGAAGATGATGGAAAAATCACCCTAAAAGAATAAGTCCAATGTCCCAAGGAAGTCCTCAACCAAAAGAGCCTGCGGACTGCTCTAAACTCATGTCGCCTAATCATAAGGAGACTCGTGCAGGGGAAGGGGGCTGAGAAGTGACACTCACTCAGCCACGTGCCACATACCCTATACTACTGGACGTGCATTGCAGTGAACCATCCTAGAGGGGGAGTATCAGCAGCAGCATGATTATTATTGTACAGCTGCCTGAACTGAGAAAGCTAAGTCCCAAAGACGTTGGTTCATTTCCCAACATCACAACGCAAGGAGCTCAACGGAATCCTGACTCAAAAACCTGAGTTCTTTGAATTCTCATCATGCAGAAAATAATATCACACCCGATTCTCTACACTAAGGCAAAGATCAGCTGCACAGTCACACGTTTTGTATGACCGCTCTGATGGTGATTTTCAAACCTTGCTTCTAAGCAATCTCAAAGAAATAATTCCATATTTTTACCGTGGGAGAATGAATTTTATCATACGCTTTAGAAGGGAAGGCCTGAACTATGTTTCTACCCAGTAGTCATGAAATTGTACAATGGATACCTCAGGAAAAAACGCCTCAAATAAGTGAGAACCTATAAAAGTAAGATGTCAAGTTTTCAAAAATGAAGTCAGTAACACATAGTTATCCCTAACTGAATACTGAACCAAATGATGCTGAGTATCATGAAGTGATCATAATAAACTCTCAAGGCAGAGTCTGCTAAAGGAAGGGCACACTTGGATAAAATTAAAGAATTCTGCTGTGTTTACAGTACTAATGACATAAAATTGCAACGTCATGGAAAGTGACCTGCCACCACCCTCCTACTGGAGGCTTGAATAGAAACGTCAGCCAGTGATTTGACTGTGTGTACAAGGCATATATACATAAAGCCCTGGAAACTGATTCACTCCGGTCATCAATAAACCTTTGCTTTTGACCTATAAAGGGAGTATGTATGTAAGTCACTCCACATTTTGGAAGGCCGGTCAAGGACCAAGCCCTGTGCCCTGTTCCTAGCACAGTTCTCCACACATGTTGGCTACAAAGCAGGCATGAGATAGAAAACTCCAGACTCTTCCACTTACAAGCCTTGGGACTCTGGGCTAAACATATCAACCTCCAACCAAATTATTTTAGGTGGCAAGGATCCCATGTATAGGTAGGGGAACTGAACAATTACATGACTTCCCAACAAATCTATAGTCAAAAGCAGAATAGAAAACTGAATTGAGTTTCTCTGTTTATGGAATCATGCCTTTTCTGTAAACACGATGAAAAATTCTAAAAAAAAAAACCCTAAATGTGATACATATAAATTTTTGTATATGGGGACAGGATTAATCACGTTTCCTGTGTACTTTAAGCATGAAATCGTTCTTATTCTAGAAAGGCATGTTGAAGAAACCCTGAAACGTGTCTGACTTGTCCATGACCTGTAAGTGGAGAAAGGAAATCTAGCAGGCAACTGAAGGCTGCTGATGGAAATCGCATATAAGAAATGAGCATTAAAACAGCAACTCTCCCACCCATTATCGTCCACTAGTTCTGTGACAATAGATGCGACTTTGTTACTTTGTGAAGTAAAACAGATGATACTCAGTGAAATGCCCACAAGTACGTCCAGGCTAGGTTATTGTCTGTTTTAGGAGCTGCATCTGTTCTGCCTAGTTGGTGTGGCTGCCAATCTATTATAGTTATTTTAATTTCTACATCTACTAGAGAACAGGGGTTAATTAAAGCATAAAGGAGGAGCCAGGCAGGTGAAATGGCCCAGCGTGAGGACAATGGCAAACGAGAGAACACGTGTCCCAGCTGAAGGAGAGACCTGCTCCTCAACCCCTGCAGGTTGAAGTCATACAGAAAAATAGGCCCATGGGAGCCAGGTTTGCCATATTTTTTAAAGAAGCAGCTAGAAATCCCTCCATATTTTAAAATAGTTATTCTTAATTCCATCTTCAAAATGCTATTTGCTAACAAAACACATCTCTAGAATAAGAGTTGCCAGTTTCCTGCTGAGGGCTGTCAGTCTGCGACTGCTGAAATAGATCGAAACTACAGTTAAGTGTATAGATTCAGTATGCTGCCCTGTCCTGATGGCAGTAGGGTGCCATAGCCAGAGGGTTTCAGCAATTATAAATATAGGTATAAATCTTAAATATGGGGCCAACATTTTTTTAAGTTTACTAATAGCATGAAAAGAGCAGATAATTCTTTCAAAGATACTTAAAGAACACTTAAGATACAATTAGAAACATTTTTAACCTTTACTATTGTCAATCATGTCTTTGTCTACCCTTTATTTTAGAGATCATGATCCCAGTATACATTTTTCCTTTCCATTTCTTCTTCTTTCCCTTCTCCAATCTTTTCTTAGTAAGATCATAGGACTTTCGTGGAGATGACATGAAATAGTATATGTAATATGCCTAATGCAATACACAGCACAAAGTAAGAACTAAAAAATTGCTAGTGCCTGCTGTTGCTGTGAAGACTACTTAGATGTCGGGCTGGCCGAGTGGCTCAGTTGGTTAAGAGCACGAGCTCTGAGCAACAGGGCCGCCGGTCAGATTTCCACATGGGCCAGTGAGCTGTGCCTAAGCTGAGCTGCCGCTGAGCTACCAATAGATGGCAGGATGACTCAGCTAGTGAGAGCACATGCTCCTAACAACAAGGTTGGCTGTTGACTCCCGCATGGGATGGTGAGATATGCCCACCCATAACTAAGATTGAACACAGCACCCTGAGCTGAGCTGCCCTGAGCTCCCAAAGCGTGGACGGATGGCTCAGTGGTTACAGCGTGTGCTTTTAGCAACAAGGTTGCCGGTTGGAATCCCGCATGGGATGGTGGGCTACGCCCACCCACAACTAAGATTGAAGGACAATAATTTGACTGGTCCCCTTCCCTAATTCCCCCAATAAAATCTTAAAAATAAATAAATAAGATTATTTAGGTCTTGAAGCCCTCCCTCAACAGGGCTGGCCTACAACTTTGGGAAAGCTAGTGTTAACTCTTAAAACTGAGATGTTACATAAAACTTCTGCCACAGAATCACTCTGATTTGTTAGAAATCTGTTTCTTAAATTAATCCCCATTTCAGGTCCTCTGAGACAGCTGAGAATCTTTTGCACATCAGAACAAAGATAAAGAAACAGCGGTCTCTGTAGAGCATTTCTCAACAAAGGAGCTAAGGGCCTCCACCTCTCCTTTTCCCCTAGGAGACAGAGGTACTTTTCCACTTTTTTGTTTCTTTGTGAACTGGACTCGTTCCGCCTTTCAAACTACATAAACCAAGCTGGATGGGGGTGGCTTGAATTCAAACACTGTACAACTTATTTCATGATCTCTTTGTTACTTGCAGTGGCTTTGTGTATTATCCAATTCAGGGCCTCAGTTATTTCAAAAGCACATTATCATGTATTGAAATCAAGAATATTTGATCCACAAGTTTAGTAAATTATAAAGTAATCAGTCAGCACTAAGCACCAAGTTTTACTTAAATTTTGTTGTTCTCTCTTGAGGTTTGGAGTCACCTCAGACATCGTTAAACTAGAATCAGTGTCTGATTCAATATGTACTTCTTTGAAATTAAGATCCTGAAACTTCCTGTTACAGGCACTACAAGCAAACACCAAACAAAAGGAGATGACAAATTAGATGGTGGGATGAAAGAAATGATGGCTCAATCTTTCTGGGCTTCACCAAAGAGGATCAAGTCAGGAATTCCCAAGCACGCCCTGGGGATACGGAATGGATGGCTCAACACAACTCCTTCTAGGGAGGGTCACTTCCTTAAGTGCCTTAATCTGCATGACATCATGTTGCAGGCATGTGCTAACAGATAAAAACAAACACAGGAGTGGAAGTGAGCCAAACAAAATAATTTACACTGTGCATAGGAAAAATAACTATTTAAGTACTTCTCATAAACTGCAAAAGTCTAAATATCAACTTTCCTGATTTACAAATAAAACCATCCTTTTTCTCTGATCGAATCATTTCCCCAATCTGATGCATTTGCGGTATTTTTTTAAAAAATAGGAATCGAGTTCTATTAAAGACAGAGCCCCAGGCTTTCATCCCGGGGATAGGTCTGTGCCCACTGGCCAGTGCAAGCTGCAGGTGCTGTCTAGGTAAATACGCCTTCAAAGGGGAAATATTTACTTCAACGCATGAGAAACTAAGAATCAGCCTCACATAATCAGTTCAATAGAATCAAAGAAATATACCTGCAGGTTTTCAATTTCTTCTTTGTGCTCCCTCTTCAAGTGTAAAATAGCAGCTTGATATTCTGTAAGATCACAAAAGGAGCCAATTAGCAAAGAAACACAAAATTATGCACAAAATTCAAAGTGAGCATCTCCAAGATTCCAGAGGTGCTTCCACAAGTAAACCGAGTAAACAAACGCCACACTTTGACATTAACTTTACAAGAGATGCTGGAAATTGGGACAAGACTGGACAAGTAGCTCAGGATGGAAGGGAGGTTTCCTTCCATTTAGCAAACCTTGAATAAATTATAAGAATGCCCCAATTAGGCAAATAAGATAGGGTTAAAAAAAAAAAAAGTGTGTTGAGTGTTCCAGATAAAGACTGGGTCAGGTTTGTCTTTAAGGAGGAGTTGGAAGTTAAGGCCCCACAGAGAGCAAATATACACAGGTTAAGAGCAGACACACAGGAAATAAAAGAACCTTCTAAGAGAGAGCAGAGAATTCTATTTTTAACACTGCCCCTTCCCCCACCCCCAATCTCCATTTGAATGCAAGACTAAGCAAGCACCCCAAGCTGATTTTAATCTTTAGATCACTTAAGATAGTCAAGACTATTTGTCATTTGGATGAGAGAATCTAAATTTCTGGTCCAATTTTAGTCTGGCCTAATAATGTTTATTCCAACAATAGGTCCAAGTGTACCCAGGAACTCCAGCCAACTTCTAAAGCTACCATCCCTCTGTTTAAGCATGAAGCAGCTATGACCATTTTATTTCCATCAGAATGGCTAAGCATGTGTGCCTGTGTGTGTCTGGGGCGGGCAGGGTGGTCACAGAACTATGCAGGCTGCAGAGAACCACAAAGCAAAATGTTCTGAGATAACATTTTTTGTGGGATAAGCCTTTTTTTTTTTATACAAATGTGTTTTGGTTGTTAAGAAAAATGTCAGTTAGATGTCGTTTTAAAATGCATGAAAAGACAGGCTATTTCTTCAAGTGGATTTCAGAAATAAGGCATGTGAGTTTAGGTTTCCACTCAAATGGATGAGGGAAATCTTTGGAAAAGCCATAACAGGAGAGGAGTGTTGCTGTTGATAATTATGACTTGTCACACCGCTCGCTGCTCTTATGGGGAATGTGGTCCACTGAGCTGTGAATCCATCAGCAAGTTCTGTGGGTTCTACATCCAAACCATATCTTGAATCAAATCACTTCTCAGCATCCCACAACCGCCACTATAGTCCAAGCCAGCACCATCTTGTCACTGGACCACTGCAGTAACCTGAAAATGTTACCTGCTTTCACTCTTACCACCACCAAAACCCATTCTCCTCACAGCAGCAGCCTGGATGACCTGTTAAAGGCATGAACCAGACCATGTCTCATCCCTGGCTTTCCACTGCAAAGTGGGAAATTAAAACTCTCTACTGTAGGGCGGTCAGTTGGCTCAGTTGGTTAGGGCGTGGTGCTCGCAACATCAAGGTTGCCAGTTCGATTCCCACATGGGCCAGTGAGCTGCGCCCTCCACAACTAGATTGAAAACAATGATTTGACTTGGTGCTGATGGGTCCTGGAAAAACACACTGTTCCCCAATGAAGTTAAAAACAAAACAAAACAAAAAACCAACTCCCCACTGTAGCCCCAGAGAACCTCCGTGACCTGGTGCCTGTATACCTCTCTCCATCCTCCCCTTGCTCATTACACTCCAGGCACATTGACTTTCTTGCTATTGATTGAATTTGTCAAGATCTCTTCTACCTCAAAATCTCTACTAATATCGGGGACAATAATAATGAATTGTATTTATTGAGCACTTACTATATACCAGGCACTATCTAAGTACTTCCTATGTGTTAACTTCATCCCTACAATAACCCTATGATATAGGGACATTTTCCTCATTAAAGATAAAGAAACTGATGGAAAGCTGAGTGAGCTGCAGAGCTAGAAAACATACATAATCAATGGGTGAATAACTGGTATATCCATTGAATAGACTACTACTCAGTAATAAAAAGAATGAGCTAATGATTTGCACATCAACATAGACGAATTTCAAAGGCAGTAAGCAGAGTGAAGGTGGCCAGTCTCAGAAGGCTATCTATGTTTAATCATCCCATGTATATGACATTCTGGAAAAGACAAAACCATAGGGATGAAGAACAGATCAGATCAGTAGTGACTAGAAGTTAGAGATGAGGGAAGATTAGACTACAAAGGGGCAGCACATAAAGGAATTTTTGGGGTTATGTAACTATTTTCTATCCTGATTATGGTTGTGGTTATATGACTCTATACATGAGTTAAAACTTACAGAACTGTACAACAAAAAGAAAAGTTAATTCTATAGTATGTTAATTTTTACAAATCTACATCAAATATGATACTTTTAAATGTTTTCCCTAGGAGATTCAGCATAACATAAGAATACCTGTTAATACCACTTCTATTCATCATTTTCGTAAGGGTACCAGCAAATACAGTAGGACAAGAAAAAAAAAACAAAAAATGAACATATTCATGAACACATCACACACACACACACACAGACACACACACACACACACACACACACACACACACACACACAAAACAAAGGAGAAAAAAAGGTATTATATATTTATAAAAGTCCAAAAGATTCTGTAGATAAAATACTAAAATTTATGTGTGAGTTTAGTAAGGTGGCTGGATATAAAATCAGTATACAAAAATCCTGATACCAGCAACAGTTTAAAAATGAAAACTGAAGATAACATTTACAGTATCCCTAAAAGTAAAAAGTACTTAGAAGAACCTTAAGAAAGTATTTAAGACCTCATGAGAAACTAGAAACACTATTATTGAAATATATTACAAAGAAAGTCACAGATAGTGGGCAAGACATGTTTTTGGTAAGAGTCAATATTGTGAAGACGTTAATTTTCCCAAATTGATCTATAGATTCAACGCAATCCCATTCTACATGTCTAAGCGTTTTGGTGTTGTTTGGAATGAAGGAGCTTGTTCTAAAATGTATATTGAAGCACAGAAGTACAAATAGCCACTAAGAGCCAAGAAACGCTTGAAAAAATAAATAAAAGGTAAGACAACTTGCCTTACACCTAATAAGAATTCTTTTTAATTATCACCACATAATTAAAGTGGTGTGCTACTGACACAGGGAATAACAAACAGACTAATAGAATAGACAAGAGCACCCAGGAACTGTGAATTTATGGTCACAGAAGTAGCATGGGAGATCTCTGTTTACACTAAAAATAGTCTTTTCAGTAACTGTAGTTTAGAAAAAGTGGATAATTGTGTGGAAAAACATAAAACTGGACCCCAACTTTATACCACATAATAATCTATACTAAGTCAAGTAGAGCTAAATTGTAAAAAACTAAACTATAAATATTTTATAAGAGAATATAGCATATTCTTTTAAACCTCAGGATAAGAAAGGACTTAAGATTCAAACTATATTACTTATAAAAAAAGAAAACAAATTTCACTACATTAAAATTAAGAACTACTTTTCATCAAAATACAGCATAAAGAGAGGAATAAGACAAGTCAGGGAGTGGGGGAATATACTTGAAACAAGTAATCAAAGATCTAGTATAAATATATATATATATATATATCAGTAATTCCTACAAAATTACAGAAGATGAAAAATAAGCCCAAAATGTCAACAGGCACTCTAAAAAGAATACATATAAATAATAGATAAATACAGTAAAAGATGTTCATTCTTATTAGTAAGCAGGAATACTTAAAAGTCCGACAAAACTGAGTGTTTAACATGTGGAGTAATGGAAACTCGCATATATGAGTGGTAGGAGTGCAAATGGGTACAGTCACTAGGGAAAATGTTTGTCATTTTCTAATAAAGTTGAAGATACTCATAGTACTTACCCAACAATCTTAATTCTAAGTACACATAAATAAAAAAAAAACTGTAAAAGAAAAACAATTAATATGAACAAAAATGAGGATAATAAGTAGCACCCAGGAGAAGAGGAATGGAGTTAGGTTATGACTGAGTAAGGTGGTATCATATGGATGTTTGATGAAAAGTTATTTTTTTAACCTCTGTGTTTTATGCCATGTCCTTTATGTACACCTAATATTACAGTGTAAGAAAAAAGATCGCTCTGCTTATACTAGTTTTCTCATATATCAAGTAAAGAATATTATATAGGTGCAAGAGAGCCTCTAGATTCATAAAATAAGAATAAGGCAATTTAGTAAGTTTGAGTCTTGTATAAATGTTGAGCCCTAACCCGTGCGAAGATTGATAGCTAAACCTTAATCAATTCTCAGCCTCTACCAAGTAGGCAAAGGAAGGTTAGCTAAACCTACCTTCTTGCAAAACTGATATCTCTTGGGAATAATATCTACATTCCATATAGAAATTACACAGACTATATTTTGAAATGATTAATTTTGTGCCATTTGTACCTGTAAGGGTGTGACAGATATAGTTATGACTAATTAACAGACTGATAAAGGAGATCGTTACAAAGCTAACACCCAGTAAATCCTGATTCATCTTCTCCTTAAACAAACAGTTTTACCAACAGTCCCGGTGACAGTTGGCAAGAAAACACACCCTCATTACTGACAAGGATGACAAAATAGAATGTCTGGGCAGCACACAGAAGGAAGGGAATGCCCTCACTAGTGGGCTGCTCAAATGGAGGTTCACAAGAGAATACTGAGAATATAAAGGGTACAGAAAAATGAGTTAAAGTTAGGTTGGGCATTTCTAGATGTCTTCCACTGAGGGTCCCCTCCCCCACAGTTTTTGGGTTTACAAATGCCTTGTAGTGGACCAAGGTAAACCCTCCCTCTCTCTTTGGGGTGAAGGTGATCAAAAAGAGGTCTCAGTGCAAGTCTAAGGATGATTCTGTTTGTTAAAAAGAGAATTTGACCCTGGTCTTCAGTAGCTCCAGGACTCTACAAATGTATGGGGTGGAGTGGGGGGGGTACAGAAGGGGGGAGGAATGGAGATTTTGAATATCAGGGCTTGAAAAGGGCAGATCTCTTTGAAGCCACATTAGCCCCAATGGAAATTAACAAATACATTCAAATG